GATAAACCATGAGCTTGGTTTTGGATCTGATGTCGAGATCTTCGAACACCCATTCCCTCAGGCATCTGAAGACTACACTTGCACATGTGCGGTGATGTTGGATTTCTATGTCAATGTCAGCCTTCTATAAGAAATGGCTTCTGAGGTACAAGAAATACTCTGAATTCTCCAGACTCTCACCATAAATCTGAATCACTGGAGCTGGGTACTGCTCATTAAAAATTTGTTGATGGAAGGCTTTAGTCTTCTGAATGTTAAGCATGAATCCCATTTTCTTGTATGCCTCAGTAAAGACATTGACAATTGTGTGAAAGTCTGCTTCTGTGTGAGCACAGGCTACAGCATCAACAGTATACAGGAGCTCAGTGATTGAGATTGGGGTAGTCTTGGTTTGGGATCAAAGTCAGCTGAAATTAAATGGCTTACCAGTCTTAATCTCAAAGGGATCTGTGGTTGATCCATTACTGAGAACCACTGCCCGCATACCATCATGTAGCAGATGACTACACCTGTCAGTACAATTTGAGGAGAAGGTGAGAAGCCAACAGTAGTGAAAAAACAGGTTAGAGATTATTTAGAAAAACTGGATATGTACAGGTCCATGGGGCTGGACAAGCTGTACCTGAGGGTGCTGAGGGAGTTGGCTGATGTGATTGCAGAGCCATGGGCCATTATCTTTGAAAACTCTTGGCAATCTTGGAAGGTCCTGGATGTTTGGAAAAAGGCAAATAGAGTGCCCATCTTTAAGAAAGGGAAGAAGGAGGACCTGGGGAACTACAGACCAGTCAGCCTCACCTCAGTCCCTGGAAAAATCATGCAGCAAGTCCTCAAGAAATCCATTTCTAAGCACTTGAAGGAGAAGAAGATGATTAGGAACAATCAGCATGGATTCACAAAGGGCAAGTCATGCCTGAACAACCTGATTGCCTTCTATGGTGAAATGACTGCCTCTGTGGATGCAGGGAAAGCAGTGGACGTGATATATCTTGATTTTAGTAAGGCTTTTGATATGGTCTCCTACAACATTCTTACAAGTAAGCTGAGAAAGTATAGGTTGGACGAATGTACTTGTGACAGGGCTGTCACAAGGCCTGTCCTGATGTCTACCTGCCCACCTGTCTAGGGTGGTCTGCTCTGTCTCACCTGCCACATCTTGCTGTTTTAAAACTGTAATAAAAATACGGGAAGCTGCCCGTTAAGTGCCCCAATGCGTAGGACATTATACATGTCTCCGACCTTCCCTATACCATATCCCATGCCTTGAAGGTGGCATCCAATGTCACCAATAGGCCATAGGCCCACACTACCCACTATAACTCCCCCTGCTCCTTTGCTGAGCTGTACTCACTAAACTCTTTGGGACTAGCCTGTGTGCAGTCTTTCAGGCCACTCCTGCAGCCCTACTCTGTACAGCCCTTTAGGCCTGCCTACGCAAACTCTACTCTGCACCCACTCAGCACAGGCCTTCAGGTAGCCTATGCACACCCTGCTCTGTGCAGCCTACTTCTTTCACTACACCCCTTCACTGGGACCACTCTTCTTCCCCTTCACTGGGGTCATTGGGGTCTTATACCCCATGGGGCTCAGGTGCTTCACTAGGTGTGCCTGGCCCCTTTCCTGTCTCTGCTACTGGGATAACCCACCAGGTTGTGGGAGCTGGGACTATAAGGTGCCCTATACTCACTAGGGAGGCAACTGGTGTGGCATTTTCTAGGGACCACCCTGCCACAGTCTGCCTTACTACACCATCCTGCACTAGCAGGGTGTAGTTTTAGATCAAGGATATTATGTGTATAGCAGCTCCAGCCAGGCAATATTCCCCCTCTGGCTGCTTGCAGTGAACTGCTGGCTCTCCTGCTCAGATCTGCTCTTATTGCTAGCAGCTGATCCCTCTTTCCCAATCAGGCGGTCTCCTGCTGACCATGTGACTCCTGGTTGGGAGTGTAGTCATCTTCAGGCTGCTCTGCTGCTTGGTCTTAGCCCTTAAAGTGGCAGGCACCAAAGGTGCCCTGCCCCAGTACTGTAAGGGGGATAGAAATCTGGTTGGATCACCAGCCTCAAAGGGTAGTAATCAATGGCTTGCTATCTAGTTAGCAGCCAGTGTCAAGTGGAATGTGCCAGGGGTCAGTCCTGGGGCAAGTTTTGTTCAATGTCTTCATCAACGACCTGGAAGGTGGGATGGAGTGCACCCTAAGCAAGTTTACATATAAGACCAAGCTGTGGAGAGTAGTAGATATGCTGGAGGGTAGGGCTAGGATTCAGAGCCACCTAAACAAATTGGAGAGTTGGACTAAAAGAAATGTTATAAGGTTCAATAAGGACAAGTGCAAAATCCTGCACTTAGGACAGAACAATGCAATGCACCAGTACATGCTGGGAACTGACAGGCTAAGCAGCAGGTCTGAAGAAAAGAACCTGCGGATTACAATGGACAAGAAGCTGAATAAAAGCTAACAGGGTGCCCTCGTTGCAACAACGACATAATGAGTTAACAACATAATAGGCTGCATTAGTAGGGGCATTGCCAGCAGATTGAGGGAAGTGATTCTTCTCCTCTATTTGGCACTGGTGAGGCCACATCTGGAGTACTGTGTCCAATTTCCCCCGCCCCCTACAGAAAGGATATAGACAAATTGGAGAGAGTCCAGTGGAGGGCAACAAAAATGGTTAGGGGGTTGGAGCACATGACTTCTGTGAAGAGGCTGAAGGAACTGGACTTTAGTCTGGCAAAGAGAAGACTAAGGAGGTGGGAAAAATTTAATTGCAATCTTCAACTACTTATAGGTTGGTTCCAAAGAGGATGGAGCTAAACTTTTCAGTGGTAGCAGGTGACAGAACAAGGAGCAATGTTTTCAAATTGCAGCAAGGGAAGTTTAAGTTATATATTAGGAAAACCTTTCTCACTAGAAGAGTAGTAAAGCACTAGAACAGGCCTGTCAGTGAGGTTGTGAAATGTCAATTCTTGGAGATTTTTTAGACCCAGCTAGACAAAACCTTGTCTGGGATGATCTAGTTGGGAATGGTCCTTATTTGAGTAGGGGATTGAACTAGATGACCTCCTGAGGTCCCTTCCAACCCTAATTTTCTATAATTCTATGATTCTGTGATTCTAACCAGGCATCAGAAAAAAGGTTAGAGGGACAGATCTGTGAGATCAAACAAAGGGAGAGGGACTGGGGATGAAGAGATTTAGGAGTTGTCAGACTAAAGGGATTAGATGAAGCCCATGAAATTGAAAGGAAAAACCAAGGAAAGGATCCTCAGAGATAAAATGGGGGAGGAAGAAGGATCATCATTATAACATTTGAAGAAAGAAAGAGGTAGAAATAAAGTCTGGAGAACATTGGGTCAAGAAATACCAATAAAAAGGAAGAGAAAGTGAAGCATAACAGAATTTTTTTTTAACCTCTTTTAGATATTAAGGAACAGATTTTCAGATGACATGCATTGTAGGGCTGTGTGAAGCTTTGGGTGCTGTTTTGATTAGAAAGAGATTCGGCCTGATTCAGTGGCCAAATCTCCAAATCCAGATCAAATCAGGGGACCAATGAAAAGGTCTGAATTGATTCAAAGCTCTCTGAATTGATTCAGAAAAGATTTGGGAGAACCTTGGTGATTTGGGCAGTCTCCACCCACTGCAGCAGGGAACTGGACCCAGACTCCAAACTGGTAAGTAGGGGCCAGGGAAGGGAGGACTGGAGGAGGGGGAAGGGGACTATGGGAGGTCCCCTGCCAGGCCCCATCCCCTGCCCGCTCCCCCAGCCCCCCCACCCCCCATGACTGCCCACCTGGCCCCAGCTCCTGGTGCTTTAACAAAAACGGCCCTACGAGGGGCTCTGTAACAAGCCCCCCAACCCCACTCCCATTCCCTTAGCCCTCCCATGGCTGCCCCAGATGCTCCAGCTCCTGGCCCTTTAAGAAAAAAACCCCAAACCTGGACTCACCTGCTGCTGCAGTGGCCTTGGGGCTTCAGGGGGCTTCTGACAGAGACCCTATGCAGTGCAGGGCAGTGGTGGGCAGCGTGGATCGCCCCCCATCAGGCAAGAACCGGTGATTCCAGGCTTTTTTTGTTGTTTTTTTCTTAAAGGGCCAGGAGTTGGGGCAGGTACAGCAGCCATGTGGGGCAGGGGGGTTGGAACAGCAGGGGCATTAGGGCAGAACTCCCCATGCAGTGGATCACACCCCCCCCACCGGCCAGGCAGCAGCTGGTGAGTGGGGGCTTTTTTTTTTTTCCAAAGAGCCAGGAGCTGGGGCCAGGTGGGGCAGCCATTGCTGGGGCTGGGAGAGTGGGCGGGGGATAGGGCCTGCATGACTCAAAGATTCGGCTGATTTGGCAGCAGCTGAATCTCCAAATCAGATTCGGCCGAATCGATGAAGTAAATAGAACTATGTGAATTTACACCTGATAATCTGGCCTTCAGTGATGTAATACATTCTGATTTCATGAAATCTGCATTGACATTACTACTGGCTAGTAAACAGTTGCGTTTAAGAATGCCTCCTACGCTGGTGGAATAAATCCATCGATTTACATTGTTTATTCTTTTCACTTATCTGTCTTAATGAAAATGCTAGGAATGAAGTATGCATGCCAGTTATTTTCAAGATCATAGAGTACAAGGCTATTCTGTGCCTATTTATGTGTTTCAGTTTTCCTGCATTTGCACTATAATTGTAGGGATTTACTAGATGAATTGAATTGAGGTCATGATTATTTAAATATTTGTAATTTTCTTTAAATCATGCAGTAGATAAGGTTTGTTAGTTAAAAGAATAGCATTTGTACAATTAAACATGTTAAGCACCTCACAGTAATAACATTTCTTATTTGGCTACATAAAAATAAATATTTTTGAGATGTAGTTGTTTATCTATGAGCAGAATCTTTAAGTGTAGCAGCAAGCCTCCTGGGTTCTTGTCTCATCAACTGAAAAGCAGCAGTAGCAGAGATATTAAAATACTGGTGCTGAGAAGAACAGGAAGGTAGAATTTAGGCAAATTAAGTTATAATAAAAATAAGTCTGATGTACATATGTTATTTGGAAAACAGGTTGTATGCAAAATACATTTCAATATAATCACTGAATTTTGCTTTCTTCCCCATCATTCTTCCTTGATAATTTTCTGTTCTTTGAAAATGACTTATATCATTACATTGTGCTTTTTAAGACTCCAAGTTTGTCCCTATTTTATTGTATATTTTCATTATTTTTTCAAGTTGATTGTACAACTGTGCTAAGTCTATAGTAGCTTCCCCTATTTGTCAAGACTCTCACTGTATTCCCATTTTTTAGAGTCCTAGAGAATTAAACTGGGCTGAAACCAATAGGTTTCAATAGAGTTCAGGAGAAAATGTTTGAACTGTGTTATAAAATTCTTAGTTGGGATACAGTTTTCAATTTGATTTTGTAGCTGATTTAGAAAACTGGTAGGAAAATCATTGTGTATGAATTCTTTAGTTATGTGCCTGTTCAATTCCATAGGACTTTTATAAGACTGACTCATCCTGTATAAATTTAATGCTATCAGGTTTATTTTAGCCTCAGTCTAAATTGACCAAAACACTTCATTACTTTCCAATATACAATTTCCATTTTCTTTGATTATTAAAGTTAAAACCTAGCATTGTAGGTAAAAGGAATATATATGCTTGTCATTGTCAGACCAGCCATTTCAAAATCTAAAACAATAACTAGTTGACAAGGTGGTAGTAGTTTTTTTAAAATCTATGTTATACTTTCAAAACTGCTGATCAAGTGGACTTTCAACTGCTTTAAATAATTTGTTACTGTATAAGTAAAAATGGACACCTAGATGTTACAAGTTCCATGCAGGAGGAAAATGCAGAAACAAACCCTAGTTACAAATTATGCTATGCAGGCACCACTGTGCAATCACCATGTAAGCAATAAGGCTAAGTTTCACAAGATCGAAAGTTGGCAAAACTTTTATGTTCATTCTGCCAAGTCTGAAATGGCAATCACGGGTATGAGCTTCACCCTCTTCTGGAGCTCCATCAGCACAGTGCAGCTGTTGTATCATCAGCCACCGGGAATTTCAGCTGCAAGAAATGAAATGTAGGTCACAGCAACTCTAGAGCAAAGTACATAGGAAGGAAAAAAGTTCTAAGATAAGTATTTGAAGTCCATACAAATCATTCTGTAAAAACAAAAACTTACTACATTACCAAGATGAAGAGCCTATATATTCATTCCACCAAAAAAACCCTAATATTTTTATGTTTACAAATACACTGCAGATGTTACTTTGGATGAAGAGAAAAGTCTCCTCACAAGTAAAGAGACTTAGGGCTAAATCCATCCCTAGCATAATTCTATTGAAGACAATGGAGTGAAACCAGAAATTAATTTGGCTGATTATAGTTTTTTCCTAGGTACACAGGTTTTTTCACAGTATTACCCAGTATAGCCCTATAGATTTACTTTAAAAAGAACATAAATTTAATATGAAATATTATAACCAACAACGTAGTGATAACATTTAGGCTAGGAACAGACATTACACATAAACTAGTTTAAGTGATCAGAAATTGGTTAAACCTGTAACAGAACAGATGTTCAGTGCACATAAACCAGTTTGAAAATGGCTTATACCGGTTTGTGATAAACCTAGTTGAATGTAGTATCAGACCTAACCAATTTGGGTCAAACCAGCTTATGTAATGTCTGTCCCAGACCCCTTGCTGGTTTAAGTTAAATCAGAGTCCCCCAGCATCCCGGCATGCTCTCTGGGCTGGATGGGGCTCTCTGCTCCACAACAGGGCTTGCCCCTTCCCTCTGCTCCCTGGCCAGAGCTCTGGCAGACTTGCAGGCACAGCAGGGTCTGTTGGCTTCCCTGTGCCCCTCTCCACCTGCCCCCTCACCACTCACTGCTTAAGCAGGGATCCCTTCCTCCTCTCTGCCACAGCATGGACCCTAGCCAGCATGTGGTACTCTAGCTAATTCTGTGTAAGGCTCCAGCAGAGACTGCAGACACAGCAGGGTCTGCCTGTCTTCCCCCTGCCCAACGACTCCCCCCAACCCCCACCCCCGCCTGCT